GTCTAAAAAATTCCTTTTAATGTGCACCCAAACATCTAAAAAGGGTGGGCTGGGTGTGTACTAAAAACTTTTATTTTTGTAACCTGATTAGATATGTAAATAACCCAACCTTAATTTCTAAATCATGTTCTTTAAATATTAAACACACACACACACAGACACACACACACACACATATATATATATATATATATATATATATATATATATATATATATATATATATATATATATATATATATATATATATATGTATATATATATATATATATAATATATATATATATATATATATATATATATATATATATATATATATATGAATATATATATATATATATATATATATATATATATATATATACATATATATATATATATATATATATATATATATATATATATATATATATATATATATATATATATATATATATATATATATATATATATATATATATATATATATATATATATATATATATATATATATTAACTTTGTAAAAATAGTAAAAAAAAACGTTTTCTTTAATTTCTTAAGTTTAAAAAACGTTTTTAAAAAGTTGTCTGTTCATTGCATACATATTTACGAGAGGAATACTGCCTAAAAATTTCATTAAAAGCGGTCAAGCGGATCTCAAAATACTTCAGCCGGAAGATTAAAACACGCGTTCTGAGAATAATGCCAAATAAGTTGAAATTGTGATGCAAAATATCATAAAATAATAAAAATACAAATAATATAGTATAAAAAGAGCATATTAATAGTGTTTTTTAATTATGATGCATATTCCCTTCTTTTTATTTAAATTTATCAGATTTTTTATGCTTGCGGCTTCTTAAAATCTTCCTTTGTTTCTTGATGGTGTCTTGATTTTTATAATCCAACATCCTAACTCGTCTCTGGTTCAAGTAATTGCATCCAGAAATGGTATATTACCCTGGTATCATATTAAGTTTTTTAAATATAAGGATACTAGACTTTAATCCTATAATAAAATCCTATAATAAAAACAGTTGTCCTGTCGTATTATAAGTAATGTGTAAAAGTTTCAGTGAGATTGTGATAGATCTTGCGGGCTCTAAGTAAGCTTTGAGTTAGGGAAGTGTAGGAGGGGAAGGAGGTTGCGCGTATAATCTGCATGTTTTCATTTTGTGCCATGTTTGAGCGGATGTACTGTAGGATGTACATGAGACATCTAATCAATAATGTAGGATAAGTAGAATTGATCCTGGAGATTCTACAATTACAGACCAAAAGAGGTATAATTCATTAAAGTAGGCATAAAATCAATAAAAATAAACTGATTTTGCTAAATGCGCATTTAGCAGTACAATGTCATTGTTCAAATGCTTTGTTGTTTAATCTTATTTGTTCCTCAAAGATACGAAACTAAATCTTCTGTTTAATATCAACTCTTTATTTACATTATTATTTGGAAGAAAATTAATGAAATAATATTTAATATATAGTCCTAGCCCGATCAGTATTCTGGGTATTCTGAATAACACTCAGAATAGTATTCTAAATAACATCCTGAATACTGTTCTACTTTTACTAGTTTATTTATCATTTACAAATAGTTTGTATAAAATAAAGTTATAGCTTGTATCAATTTGACTATTGTTGTATTTGGTTTTGGATTTGAATTACATAAGTGAAATAAAAGTTTGACCTGCATTATAGTGTAATATTTGTGCATTGTAGACTGTATAGTACAAAAGAGTATCAGAATATTGCCAGTTATAAACAGTAAAAAATGGCGACAGTGCGGAACACTAAAAAGACGGTGACTTGTAATATATTTGGTATGCCAAAGGATATGTCTGACATTGTTCTTCCTACTTATAAACACGTTATGCTAAAATACGCTTTGATCAAACATCAGATAAAACCAACGACTGCTACAAAAAATAAAAGAACGGACTTATCGGAAAAGGTCGCACAAAACATTGAACAAATTTTGTTAAAAGTCTCAATACAGTTGTCTCGCATACTCGGATTTTACAAATGATTCACTCGTATCACGAAAAATTTATGAAGCTCATGAAAAACATAAATCCTAAGAACAGTGAAGTGGCAATTGATACTTTCAGGTATAATGCAAGAAGTAGACTTTTTGATATTTCGGCCTGCAAATGCATTTTTGAAGTATGCTTCTGTGACAAAATTGCAAGTTGCCATCTGCAGAGCAGGCATTTCTGCATGATCAAAAAACTCTGTAATTAAGGCCATTTGTGTCGTTAATAAACTTGCTACAAAGAAGATTGCCGTGAAGTTACTTCGAAAAGAAACAGAAATGCATATTGTGGGACTTCTAAAGCGTAGACCAGTTATACCCTCATCTACCGTTAATATTCAGAACTTACGAGACCGCGATCGTGATGAGATTGATGACAGTACTTTCTCTGGTGGCCGCAACATTGCTGGTCAGATTCATGATGATTGCTCTGACAACGAGACATCAATCGAAGCCGATAAACTTTATGACATTTTGTCACCAGTTACTTCTTCGAGTAATTCAAAATCAGTATAGATTTAAAAACTTCCAACATTTGCAACATATATCTTATTTCTGACCGGTCCGCAGCAACAATTGCTACCGAAGTGCTGTAGGATTATGGTATTGTAACAGCAAAAGATTCATTGAGTGTTATTGAATCTAGCAAAATTGCCGAGAACGTATAAGAAAGCTTATTGAAATGAAACCATCTCAAGAATCAACAATAGTCAGTGGCATTTACTTTGAAGGTAGAAAGAACAAAACTATAAACAACAATAAAGAAGATTCAAAGTTTTACCGTCGCATTGTTACCGAGGAACACATATCTCCCAGCAGGCATTTTTTTTTAAAGTCACATTCTAAATGTATTTTAAATGTATTCAGTGAACCAAGTAAAGTGCTAGCAAAACTGCCAATTGTGTTATTTGATTAAATCAAGGTGGTTCTGCCAATCATTTTTTAACAAGTCTCAGCACCAATTAACAAGATCTGTGGGAGATGTGTGAAGCCGTATCTTAGGGAGAATGTTCGCCGGCTCTGTCTAAGAGAAAACCTGGAGCTTTCAAATGAAAGCTCTAGATAAACCACCGTGAAATCATTCACGGTGGTTCACCACAGCCAATAGTGTGTCACGTCTGTATGTTGCTAGTGAAGAGCCTTTCGTCAATCTCAAACATTTAGTCACGTATTTTGCAAAGGTTTATGCTCCTTTTTGGTTTATCCATTAAAATGCATCCGTCATGTAAAGATGGTATGAGACATCTTTTTTGCACAATGTAGTAGTTGCGTTATCTAACTCAAGAATTGCTAGACATTATAGACCCTGTACTGCAACATAATTGGTACTTCGGACACCCCGAAAATGTGTTGTTGTCAATGATCAGCGATGAAAGAAAAAACATCCGCAAGTTAGGCTTACGTCAAAATCTCGAAGCACAAACGGAAAAATTGTCTACTCTTCGTTTTTCGTGCCAACCTTCCCCTCCCCCCCCCACCCCAACTTAAAGCTTATTGAGGACCCGCAAGATCTATCACAATCCCACTAAAACACATTACTTGTAATATGTCAGTACAACTTTCCCTCGCTATTATATATTTTTACCAAGACTTTTTTTTCTCATTGCAAATCTTCTTTATAGGAAACAAAAAAAAATTAAAAATGGACAGACATAAAACCTGGCGGTCAATTTAACACACTATGCGAGTTCTTCCTTCTTCAAAAACTAACATTTCATTGCTTATAATTTTTCATAAATTATTCTAAATGTAAAAACAATGTTGCCACTTCCAACAATTATTGCCACAACAACAATCTTTCCTTAATTTTCTTTCCAACAATCTTTCCTTACATTCATTAAATATATATCTTGTCAATTTATTATAGCATTACCGGCCTAATAGCAAGTGGCCCTACGTACAATCAAAAAAAAAGCTTTTTGTATCTAGAAAGACTAATTTTTAAACCCTTCATTACACCTATATTAGTACAAAGTTATTAGTATAGAGTAATCATTTTAGTTTCACCATTTTTAAACAAGTCTGTTTAAAAATGGTGAAACTAAAATGATTACTCTATACTAATCATTTTGTGTTTGTGTATCTAGTATAGGATTTTTAAAAATTTTAAAAAATCCGATATTAGATACACAAACTTCCCCGCAATATAATCGTTTTTTGAATTCCTTGATACTACGTATACATATCAAAGTTTTACACAATCTCTAATTCTTCTTTGAACCTTACTTTTTGCTTCGTTTTTTAGTTCAAGGTTTGTAACTTACTTAAAAGAACAATTTTTTGGAAAGGAGTGTTTTATTTTTTTCCAGGATTTTATTTTGTTTTGTAATATTTCTAATAGATTTGAAAAGTTATTGTTTTTATTAAATTAAGATAACTACGCAGTTTTCAATTGAAAAGTATATTACCACTAACACTACTACTTGAAAAATGACGTTTTTACTTCGTTCTCATTCCAACTATATTGTAACTCTTTGGTTGAGCATGGTATTTACCATGTTTGATTTAGTAAGGTTCTCGAAAGATAGCGCTGGATCCAAAAATTCTCGTAACGTTGATGTTCCTTGTGCATATTGTTTAGTAAGCTGGAAAAAGTTGCACGTTGCTTATTAAGTTGTCGCTATACCATAACTTTTAACTTAACAGCTAATTCCGTGTCTCCAAGGTTATTTATAATTATCATTAGTGTTATATAGGCTGAAAATAGAGTGCAGTGTTGCAAAATACTTCCACAACCAATTTTTTTTAAAGACGTCCCAGAAGGAACGTGAAAAAGACGTCCTGAGAGGAACGTAAAAAAGACGCCTAAGGGGAACATAAGAGTACTAAGAAAGTTTAAGTTACAGTTTAGAAATAATGAAAAACATTAGGTATGGAATGCCATAAATAGGTCTTATTTGGTGCGTATTTTTTTATACGTTAATTTTTAGACTTATTAATTTCAAATACCATTTGAAAAACAAGAATTCAACACAAAAATTAGTAAAGTGAAATTTATTTACAGAAATTAATTACAAATTAGGTTCGATGCATCTATCACTTCCACTATCGACAATTTCTAGCACCAAATTTTTTCGATCTGGACCACGTTTAAAAAAGTTGCCAGCAAATGAACGAATTTCATTCTAAAAACACAGTCTAATAAATAAGCTTTAATATCTTATACAAAATCTTCAAAGTCAACTTTTGGAACTGATTAAATAAGAGTTCACAGTTGATTTTTGTGCGAGTGTGAGTTTGCAGTATTTAAAAAATCGTCAAAACTAAGCATACAAAATACAATACAAAATATATTACATTAACAGGTATACCTATAATTGCCTTCATTAAATTTGTTTCACAAAAACTCATTTTTTTACCAGCTAAATTAAATAAACTCATCAGTTTATTTCACATTAATCTAAATAAACAAATGTCAAAAATAAAATCAGATCATAAGCAGTTTAAAAATTATGAATATAAGTTCATTTACAATTCCAAATTACCCAGCCAGCATTTGGTCCAAAAAGAACGTTTTTCAGGATCAAATGCGGGCCAGGTATGTTTTGCTAAAATACATTTAAAAAGTTTTTTTAGCAGAATATAATTTCCAAACTTATAACATAAAACATTCTACAATTATATATCACAAATGTGTTTAAGATTTACATCCATGTTTCCACACTTGTATGGTTTAGATGGTTCTCCATAGTAATGGCTCTCTCAAAAAGATTTGCAGCAATATTTTACAAACAGATGCCCAAACGTCGTATGGATGGCGTACAACCTGCTTAAGCAGGATGTACTACATGGTACCAGAAGCAAGATAACCTGACTTGACGCTTGACAAACAGACCTAAAAAAATATGGATATGAAAAGAAATTAGGTCATGCACAAAAAGAAAACAGTAGATAAAGCATTAATGACATTAAAGAAGACAAGCATCAATATCTGCATTCTGTGTCACAAATATTTAATATTTGTGACAATAAAAACTGAAACTACAAATATATATTTTTGTTCTATTTTAGTATAAAAATGTATAACTTATAATATTTTTTTTCTGTTAATTTATTTAAGCTCTTACCTTAAAAAACCATTATACAGTTAGTGGCAGAGGCAGGTTTTTTTAGGTTCCATATTTGACACTTTCAGGCTTTGTGCATACTTCAAACTTTTTATGTCTACCTGGAAAATGACAATGAAAAAAATAAATTATAATCTATTATTTCTTATAAATAAAACATAGGTGCTTGAAAACTAAAATACCCAAAAAATTTTGCTCTCCTATATCTGAATATGAGGGAAATGAGTTCATATTAGCATTCAAAAGTTATAATGGTGTACAATTTGCAACCTCCTCATTTAAGGAGGGAAACTAATCTTTATATGGTCAAAACTTTTGAAAGCTAAAATACTAATAAAGTTACAAACCTGTTGATGAAATTTAATTTAATATTAAATAAAATACTTTTATTTACAGAACTCATTTCCCTCACATTCAGGGATGGGAAAGGGCAAAACGTTGTCATTCGACATAAGGATAAAAATAATTAAGTTTGCAGATTGGACAATGTGCTTGAAAATGTCTTATGTGAATACATAAAAAAATACAACCTACGCTATTGCACATGCATTTACATATACTCTATAGCGTAATGTATACAGATAAACAATAACCACAATAAATAGTTTAACAAAACAAAACTTATTAGTTAATAATTAAGAAACTATTATTAAAAATTATTTGCATAACAAAACAAAATACAAAAAGTAAGCACATACTTAACAATCGACGTTTTCACAGTGGCATAACTAAAATTACCACCAACATTTGATAACTGAAGCCTCAAAAAAAATACAGTTAAGAATAAATAGTATTTTATTCAACACGGAAATGTTCAAAATTATAGTTCTAAATCAAGAATTAGGTTGAAGCTGGCAACCAAATTTAATGATCGTCTGTTAGAATATAAAAAATTGCAAATAAAAATCCAAAATTTCAATAAAAAACACAAAACTTTCATTAACAAATATACATTCATAACATATTACTGGGTGTTGTAGGGGCCTTGTCTTTTTCATATCTTTGTTTTTATACCAAATTGTATACATTTTGATAAGAATTGGAAAAGTTATAAAATTTGATGTTACGAAAAACTATTAATTTTGTCATTATTTTTTCAAGAAATCCTTATAAAATTTTCTACTAAGAATATCATGTAAAATTTAGATTTTTTCACCATTAAAATATAAAACAATCATATTCTAACATTAATAAATGTTAGAATATGAGTGTTTTGAAAACTCCCAATATCTCAAACCTCAGATAACTCGAAATTTCTGTAACTCAAAGTACTTTCGATTATTATTAGTAGTACACATATAATTTTTTTTACTGTTATATCTTGTTACTATATTATATATGTATGTTACTATATTATATATGAATTGATTCATATATATCATATATATCATATTGTCATATATATAGGTACGTGGAAATATCCGTTTTACGGAACCGAATATTGTGCTGAAAAACTGTGCCACGCTTTTTAAATTTTTTTTTTAGCTAGCGTAGGGAAGACGTATTTAGTTGAAAAACTTTTTAGAATTTGATATCAATATAGATTATTTTTAGAAACTAGAATAGTTAAACTTTGTTACTGTGAGGTTTATTATTTTACTAGAAGAATTTTTTATTGAGTTTTTTTATGTCTAAAACTTAGTTGTACTTTGGGCATTTAATTAATGTCAAAGATATGCTCATTTTTTTTTCTATACTATTTTTTTTTTTAAGTTTTTCATTTATCTATGCATATTTATCATTGAAAAAAAAGTTGTAGCAGGGTGTCTATTTTTTGTCGCACTTTGGTACCTAATTTTCATTTTGCTGAAGTGGTCGCGAGAGACAGAGGGGTTGAATAAACATTGTTTATATTTGATTTTGATTAAATAAAATTTTCAGTTTATTTTTTAGATTAAATAAAATGGAAAGTAAAGATATTGATAAAAGTTTTTAATATTGTTTCCTATTTATTAAAATTTTAAAAAAATTATTTGCCTTCAATGTAAAGTTATTAAATGAATTTTAATGTTTCCTTACTTTAAAGTTGAATTTTTTAATAATGTAACTGACATATTAGTAATATTATAACATATTTTATCTTACATTGTAAGTCTCTCTAATAACAATTGCAATATGCTACTACTTGTTGTATAATGCATCTTTTTCTCAAAAAGTCTAGGTAAAAACTAGACTTTTTTTTTTAATGATTAACTGTTAATCTTTCAACTGTAATAAATAATATAAATAAAATATGGTCATATATAACTAATATATGTTAGCAACCTTATTCAACTTTTATGTATATATATAAATATATATATATATATATATATATATATATATATATATATATATATATATATATATATATATATATATATATATATATATATATATATATATATATATATATATATATATATATATATATATATATATATATATATATATACTGATATATATCAGTTAGATATTTTATTCATTCAATATTCATTAGTTTATTTTAATTTAAGATCAATAGATTTCGTCTAGACAAATGTTTTTATTATTTTGTTAAAAAAATGTTTTTCATTTGTTTTTTAGATGATACTTTTGAGAGGTTAAGTCAGTTTTTTTTTGCGATTTTTTATTTTAGTATTTAGTCTTTTACTCTCAATACTCAATTATATATCTATATTATGCTATGTTTTTTGTGCAGATTTTTGTGCATTCACAAAGTTTTTTTACAGTTGTTTATTTATATATTCCTGATTGTTTCATGCTTTTTATTGAATCATTGTTATTTTTTTTTCTATAGACAATTTAGAACAAACTATTAGTAAGTAAAGTTTGAAATATTTTAGTTAGTCATTTAAACTTTTTTTTTTTTTTGTTATGTTAGTGTTATAATTTAATCTTATAATAAGGTAAGTAATTTAAAGTTGGCTGAATTTAGACAGCAGATTTGTGTTTTTAGTAAATTTTAATAATTTCAATGGTGTAGTTTAATGATACATGCTAACTAAAGATTATTACTTAATTGATACACAAGCTCAAGGTGGTTAATTTATTGATACACGCTAGCTAAAGATGTTGCAACAAAAATTGTAACTTGAAATTAAGTTTTTTTTAGTAAACATATTACTATTGTTATTACTTATTTCTTTTTAGTTGTTTAGCAACACTTACTTCATTAATTGGTAAGAGATTAATGTGTATTTTTATGTGTATGTATTGAGAAATATAGTCTGATTTTGTGTATTATGCAGTATTTTACTATTTAATATGTACTATGTTATTGTATATTTACTATATATGTATATTTAATATGTAATATTTACATGTACCATTTAATCTTTTGTGTCATTGTATTATTTAATCTTAAATATCCTTGTCATCTGTTGCAGCTGGTAAGGTTTCTATATTAGTAATTTGAGAGATAAAGTTGTTTAATGCTCAGTTCATGCATGTAACTATATTATATATCATAATATGATATATATTATATGTATAGATGCATGTAACTATACATGTATAGGTGCATGTAACTATATTATATATCATAATATGATATATATTATATATCATATTATGATATATAATATAGTTACATGCATCTATAATATAGTAACAGGGATTAGGTTATTGACAGTTAACTTCAAAGAAAATAAAATTACATATATATAAAAATAATAAAAATTTAGATTTGATTTTTATTATATTATTACTGTATGAGTATAAAATCTTAATTTTATAATTTTATTTCCTGACATTTATATTTTAAGTATTACGTTTAAAAAAAAAACTATAATACTTAAAATATAAATGACAGTAAATAAAATAGGATTTTATACTCATACAGTAATATAATAAAAAAATTAGTTAATCAATCAAAATTTTATTATTTTCATATATATCTAATATAACATAAAAAATATAAAATATATAAAAATAAAGAAAATTTAATGACATATAAAGTAAAAAAAAACATGTCACGACATATATATGTCATATAAAGTTATATATAGTTTTTCTTTACTACACAAACAATCTTTGTACATTTTATTTATCTATATACATATATAAATATAAAACACATATGTTATCTAACAATTATCTAATAGTTAATTGCGACCTCTTCATACGATAATCGCCATTATTAAAACTCCTTTTAATAATTTTAATAATGACATTTCGCGTCATTAATAAAAGACAAAATAAAAAAGTTTTTCAAAACTGAAAGTGATAAATTTTCTTATTTTCGGAACGGACGAGAAAATGACGTTCATAAGACGTCTTATTATAGTTCATATTGTGAATAAATCGAGCGGACGTGAACTGAACGTACATAAGACGTCTTTTTTCCCTCGTGTGCCCACTGGGTTATTATATAGAGATCGCTATAGCAATTTATAATGTAAGTTAGATCAAATTTCGCAGGGCATGGCTGTGTATGACAGGTAAGATTCGTAGACACCCCTATGCTGCTGTCAATACCGTTGCATCGTTTGGTGGTCCTAAAGAAGCATGTAGTGAAGCTAATGTCTCAAAATCTTGTTAATCGCTTGAAAACTAATGAGAATTTTTTTATAATAAATCTTTTTTTTTTTACTATTTCGTAATAATATTATAAAACAGTAACAAAAAAAAAAAAAAAAAAAAAAAAAAGAAGAAATAAGTAGTAGATAAAAAAACAAAAAAAAACATGATCAGATACACTTTAGGCACACAAACAATATTAACTAAGCACATTGAATATTAATTGGACTGTTTGTAATTAAGATATAGCAAGATTCTTTAAAATATTTTGAAATATTTTAAAGTTTAAATACCGGCTAAACAGTTTTTTGGCAACAGATTCCTCACAAATTCCATATTGATCTTAATGACCTTAGTTTGTTTTTAAAAACTTTACTAGTAAATTAGTAAAGTGATTTTTTCTAAATAAAAAAAAAAAATTAAACATCACGATTAACTGAAACAAATGTTCAACAATCTTTACGATCAGCTTTTATATATTGTTTTATTAATTATGCTAATATTGGTTTCAGAATTGCATAAAGCCCCTTTATGCAAGACGTGCACATTGGCACATCTTATAAATTTCAAAAATTGTTGAATCACTGAAAACTTTTTTACTTATTATGAATATACTTTATATATATATATATATATACATATATATATATATATATATATATATATATATATATATATATATATATATATATATATATATATATATATATATATATATATATAAATATATATATATATATATATATATATATACATATATATATATATATATATATATATATATATATATATATATATATATGTATATATATACATATATATATATATATAATATATATATATATATATATATATATATATATATATATATATATATATATATTTATATATACATACACACACACACATACACACACACACACACACACACACACACACACACACACACACACACACACACACACACATATATATATATATATATATATATATATATATATATATATATATATATATATATATATATATATATATATATATATATATATATATATATATATATATATATATAAAGTATATATTGAACTTAAAGTTACATGCCAAAACCGTTATAAAAAATACGAGTTTAGTGTTGCAATGGCATCTGACGTCAGTTATACGTGATCCGAAAATTGCTAATCGCCGGAATCGAAGTTAGTTAAAAATTTTTCCTATGCCTACAAGCAGAAACTATATGTATATATATATATATATATATATA